AATGCTCCGTAGTGATTGATGTGAGTCCGAGGAATGACCGGACCTGGGCGGTATCCTTCGGGGTTGGCATCTTGGAGATAGCGTCGATCTTCTTTGGATCGGGTCGGCGTCCGGCAGCAGTGATGACGTTTCCGAGATAGGTGAGCTGTGTCATCACGAAGTGGCACTTGTCGATGCGGACGCGGAAGCCGTAGTCGGATATCCTTGAAAATAGGGCTTCCAGATTGGCGTTGTGCTCGGAGAGAGTGCGGCCGGTGACGATGACGTCGTCGAGGTAGGCAGCAACGCCGTTGAGTCCAGCGATCATGGAGTCGATGATCTGCTGGAAGATGCCAGGAGCTGACTTGACTCCAAACGGTAGACGATTGTATCTGTAGAGTCCTCTGTGTGTGTTGATGGTGAGGAGCTCTCTGGAGTCGTCATCGACTTCGACCTGTAGATAAGCGTCGGCGAAGTCGATTTGTGAAAAGACGGTTCCGCCATTGAGCTTTGTGAAACATCCTCCGCGGTGGGTAGTGGATGCCTATGCAACAGCAATGCGTCGTTGAGTCCCGTCGAGAAATCGGCGCAAAGTCGAATGGTACCATTGGCCTTTCTCACAACGACGATTGGCGCAGCCCATCGAGAGTGATCGACGGCGGAGATGACGTCTGTGCCATGAGACGGTCGATCTCGGCGTCGACGAGCGGTATGGAGGCGTAGGGAACCGGTCTCTTCTTGATGAAGACTGGGCGAGCATCGGGCTTGAGGTAGAGTGTCGCCTTGGTCTTGGTGCAGTATCCAAGTCCGGGCTCGAAGACATCCATGAATTGGTGCTTCAGCTTGGCGATCGTTTGGTCTCGGAGGGCCTCGTTGTTCAGTGTTTGAACCTTCTGCACGTTGAATCTCCTCAAAACGTGGTCGAAGTCTGGAATCTGCTCGATCCACGTGATGCCGAGAAGGTCGTTGTCGTCGGAGACATAGCAGGTGCCATGTCCGGGATGAGCCTTCCCTCGATTGTCCATGACCACGAAAGCGGCTTCGAAGCTTCCGTGAATTGGTAGTGGGGATCCATTGGCTCCTTTGAAGACGTCGGAGGTCTTCTGTAGGTGAGGGCTTCCGAGCTGCATCCAAGTTGGACGAGAAATGATGGTGACGTCGGCGCCGGTGTCCAACTGGAGGCGGGTGGGATGTCCGTTGATGTGGACTTCCAGGTACTTTTGGACATCTCCTGGACGGCCGATGACGCGTTGGTACCAGGTGCGCGGTGATGACTGCTTGTTTCGACGTCGTGGTGCAGTCCTTGACTCCTGGGTGGCACTGGTAGCTTTCCGGTTTTCTGGGCAGTCTTTCTTCCAATGTAGTTGCTGGCAGATGGGACACGGTGATGGCGGCAGCAATGATTTGGATGGGCGGGATGGACGATGCTTCTTCCTCTTCTGGACGGCATGGATTTCTTGTGAATTGACAGCTTCGACGATTCTGGAGTCATCCTTGACCGATTTCCAGGCATGGTATTCCTTGGCCAAATCGTCGATAGTGGTCTTGTCGTCTTCGTCAAGCTTGCGCAGGAAGCGGACGCGGTAGTCGGCGAGCTCTGGAGCTTGGAAGGCAAAAACCAGAGCCAGGCATTCCAGAGTCTCTTGCCTGATTTCCTTGAAATTGGCTTCCATAGCGCGGGCCTTCAGCGAATTCACGAAGTTATCGATGTCTTCGTTCGGCGAGAAGTTCATGCGAAAACATTCGAAGCGGCGGCGGAAGAGGCTCTTCTTGGTGCCGAACAGCGTCTTCAGAGCATCCAGCGTTTCCGTCCAATTAAGCTCTCCGGGCTCCTTGGGAAGAATATGGCGCACGAAGCGTGTGTGGCTTGCAGCGTCAAGTGCAGAGATGAGGAGACGTGTCCTCATCTTCTCTTCCATTCCCTGGCAGTCGACCTCGAAAATGTCCTTGTGCCTGCTGAACCACATGCTGAAGCAGTCGTCTTGATCGGCGTCGTACGAGAACTTGTCGATCCTCCTTGTCATTCGGTCGAAGATAGATTCTTGCGGCGTGGTTGTAACATCTTCTGAAGCAGGTCGATGAGGAGCTTCTGCTGGGTGGCCATCATCTGCACTAGATCCTTGAGTGGCGCTTCTTCTGACATCATTGTGGCGGCGGTGTGGTCCTCGAAGTCCTTGTCCTGATCGCCAGTTGTTGTGTCCTTGACAATAAGGCAGCAAGCGAATATTTATTGGAAGACTGTAGTATATCAACATAGAAAACAACCCGTATATATACTCCTCTCTGCCTGGTCAAAAGATCGAGTCAAACCAGGCAGACCTAGTACAAACACAAGATCAAATCTACATCGCAATATGATCAACAGTGTCCCCAAACAGGGACCACTGGCGAGGAATGATGACTGAAAGGCTGTTCCAGCAATGTTGAGATTGCAAACGTGGTTTACTTCGACACATCAGCATAGCTACAGATGAGGTATACTGCGCGTCGGATTACCTCACTGCAGACTCATGGTCGTCCTTCCGTGACACCGACATCATTGAGGAAGCCGCACCTGAAGGCTTCTAGCGTGGTGCAGTACTGCCGAGGGCGGCGGTGGAGTTTCCGAAATCTCCAGCACTTTTACAGGCTGCGAGGTCACTGTTCAAAATATTCTGGCCGACTTTACTTCGCTCACACATTTTCTGGATGTGTTCTTTTGCGGTCCTATGAAAAACGAAAAATTAAATGGCGAAAGACTCAGACACGAAAAACACCCGAGGAGGGTAAATTGAGTGATGGCCAGGTGTTGATGCGTAAGCAATTCGAAATTATGAAAAAATTGTGAATTAGAAAGTCAACTTATGAATTAGAAGTGAAGCAAAAACTTCGACGCTTCACGGGAGCCGAAACATCATGCTGCTTGTGGAACCTTACGTTAAGCCACCACAACTCATTTTGTCCTACGCTATCCATCGCTTATGCTTTATAGCTCATAGCGATACTATACAATCCTCATCATTACGGACTGTCGGGGCGTGATGGTGCGGCTCTTTTGGCGCGGTACCGAAGTCGTTCTGCACCAATTGTTGAAGCGGGCAAGTGACATTACTGTATTAATCTTTCTATTACTCGTCTTCTACCATTTTTTGTCGCATACGTGTTTTAATAAAAAGGCTGAGAACGGCTTCAACAGTGTGAGCACTCATACTGGCTGACACGCCCCACAGTCCGTGATGATGAGGACAGTACATATGGGCATCATCGGGTGAGAAAAGAATATGTTATGTAGGACGAGGTGGGTGCGTTTGTACATCGTGCCTCGTGCGGCGAATTTTGTTGACGACGTCGCACTGACTAGTAGACCACACAACAACATGAAGGATCAGTTGCTTGTTAGCGGTTTCATGGTCTAACTCCATGACTGAAGCTGTGAACCTTACAAGGGAAGGATACCAAGTCGCTATGGCTATTCAAGACGGAAGAAGGGAAGAGATGCGAACTTTGCCAGACTCCCGCCGCGCGAGTAGATGGGCGTAGCCTTTTCTTAACTCGTATTAGCCTGTCGACTGGAGCACTGGACTTCACGTAGACCTCATAATCATAGACATTCATGACGTCATGTCGACCCCCCCCCCCCCCCCCCCCCCCCCCCCCCCCCCCCCCCCCCCCCCCCCCCCCCCCCCCCCCCCCCCCCCCCCCCCCCCCCCCCCCCCCCCCCCCCCCCCCCCCCCCCCCCCCCCCCGGTCCTGAGCTGCCGTTCCGTCGTCGCCGACTACCTGATCATCGTCATCTGCCTTCGCGATGTCGCACACGACGACATATCAGCGCGGCAAGTTACGATTCTGTTGTCACATACCCGCTCAAGCAAGCATATGTTTACTCCTGGAGTCATCCCGTCGAATGCCTGATATCAGATCTGGCTTCCAAAGCAACCAAAATGAATGATTTCTAGGAGAGAAGTACGGACCTTTTTTGCTATATTGTGCTTAACCCTTGCGATGCGCCCTCTGCCTATACTTTACGCCTGTGAACCTATCGTGACACAGCAGCAGTGTGTCTCAATGGTGCATCAGGCTGCGTTTATTCTTGTCGCTGGCGCTAGCGCTTCCAGCGTACGCCAGCGGCAGTGTCGGGGAAAGGATAGATATCGATCTAGCGTTCCCAGCGTCACCAGCGTACGCTAGCGTGCCGCTAGCGCACGCTGGCGTAGCGAGGGCACGGGAAGCATAGCTATCGATCTAGCTTCACCAGCGTTTCTCCAGCGTTTTCCCAGCGCTTGCAGCGACGGGGCTAGAGAGGGGCTAGAGAGTATTGAAGGGAGGAGAGTATTTTGTACTCTCCTACTTTCAATACTCTCTAGCCCCGCTAGCGCTTGCAGCGACGGGGCTAGAGAGGGGCTAGAGAGTATTGAATGTAGGAGAGTACAAAATACTCTCCTCCCTTCAATACTCTCTAGCCCCTCCCTCTAGCCCCGTCGCTGCAAGCGCTGGGAAAACTGGAGAAACGCTGGTGAAGCTAGATTGATAGCTATGCTTCCCGTGCCCTCGCGCTAGCGGCACGCTAGCGTACGCTGGTGACGCTGGGAACGCTAGATCGATATCTATCCTTTCCCCGACACTGCCGCTGGCGTACGCTGGAAGCGCTACGCTACGCTGCCGCAAAGTATAAACGCAGCTTCAGGTAGGAGCTGCCTCATGGCGGTGGGACGAATCTTGAGTCCTCGAAGCATTTCGTAGTTTTGCTTTTTCTTGAAACGTATGCCAAACCCTTGGAAAGAGTTTTAAAGGTTACCAGAACCCTCAGGGGCTTCTCTATCCTTATTGAGCCTTGTGAACGAATTTTGAATTAACAACTTCCTATGTGATGTGTTATCGGGGTTTTTGTGAAGGTTTTGCTCTGTGTATTGAATAGTTTGATATTCACAATACTCCCGAATTCGTTCGAAGATTCCTATTGTTCTGTTGAATCCTCGATATCACACCATTTATGGAGAAACTATTGCGAGAATTTATTTCTTAGCCTCGAGAGAAAACGAGGAATCAGAGGAAACTTGAAACCACATTGGGTAATTTGCAGAGAAGGTCATCGCAGGTGGCATTTGCTTTACGAAGATGTTGACAGACGGTGCTATCCTTGTTGCAGCCCGCAGTATCAGGGTCCTTGCTGCCTACTTCGTACAGCCTTGCGTGGTCAGGAACTCTGCAGTGAAATATGTGAACAATCAGCTACTTCTCCGAGGAACTAAGCATATAAGCTCCCACACTGTGTTGTAGATGCAAATAAGCGAAGCTTCGATCTCATCTTTTCTTTGGCACTCTTCATAATTGCACCCGACTTCGTAATATCTTATCATAGGCCATCTAAAAATCGATTGTACCGGTTCAGATGGACAAAAATGACGGGCGGGAACAAATAAGTAACTTACATTGGCGAAAGTGTACAGATTGCTGTCACTGTACAAACTCTCATTGTAACTGACATCATCCTCTATGGGATATTGATCTGATGGCATGAGCCAATCATCTATTGCTGCACTTATGAAGTTATACTTTCGCATTCTAATCTCGCTTGGGTTTCCGGTTACTGCTTCTGGCACAGTGTCACTGAAAATGGCGAGAAAGGCGAGTAGAGTTTGTATCATGCAACGAAATCAGGCTTATTTACTTACTTGTATACATTCTTTCCGAAATTGGGCAATTGAACTCTGGAATGAGCACAATTTTTCGTCAATTCCCTCGCCTTTGCTTCAAGGGTGCAGTTCCATCTCTACAAGTTAGGAGAGTTATCGAGTAGCTCCAGTGACAACGTAAATTGACAATTTATTAAGTGTTTTGACGCCTCCTAGATGAGTGGATCTCCGAAGCTCTCCCAAGTTAGGTGGATCGGGGTAGGAGGGGGGAGGAGAAAATTCACCGGTTGCGCACATGCGAGGCGTCAAAGTGACTTCATTGCGATCATGCCAAGAAGGACGGATACAGCTAGTTGATGCTATCGCTCAGGGTCAAGCATACATTGCGGTATCCGCGACTGGGGGACTCGTTGACTCTGCGTAGGAGTTGCACTAACCCCGCTTTTTTTCTTTTTCGACGTTGTGCTGCAGGGCGCATCACTACTTGGGGATTTTGGTCTAGTCGGTACTACCTCCCCTTTTTTGGGGGTTGATACTACCGCTCCCCTGGTCCCCTCCTAATCGAGCTATCAAGCCATGGGGAGGGAAGGGGGAGGGTGGTAAATAGCACATTTGAAAACACGACCCCTCCTAACCATTTGTTGATTCTCCCCGACTTCCTACACTCTTTCCGAATTCAAATTCGCCTGAAGTTTCCAGAAATCTTGCTGTCGAGGGGGTGGGGACATAGATGTCGTTTCTTTGCAGACGGTGGCGTTCGGTGCGCGGGGCCGTTGTGGCGCGGTGCGCAAAACTCGTTCCACTACCAGTTGTTTGAAGCGAGCACCCGATAATGACCGAGCTATGAATATCGTTGATACTCGTGTTTCTACTACTTATTTATATAGAGTAACAAAAGAAAAAGAAAGGCCTTTAACGCGCTGTGCCCATATTGGAAAAAAAAAAAAGGGCGTAAAAACAAAAAAAACCGCAGGCGAAGTAGAGTGTAAGTAACAAAGTACAGAAAAAACAAAAGTAGAAACCCCCAACACACACCAGCACACACAGTCACGCCACCACAACATAGACCCCTGCTTTCGACAACGAAGCAAAACGCCCCCGTCCCCTTCCGTAAACTGATAATAAGCGCCCTAGCACAGAAAACAGACAAACCGAGCTGTTGAGATCTCCGCACAAACACAAAAGATGGGCGCCTGAAATCCCATCCGACATCGCACAGCTCTCTTTCCGCTGATATTCCTCTAATCCCCGCCCCACCCGCACCAATTACCGCTAAAAAAAAATATACAGAATATCATAAGCAACTTCGTTCTGGGAACCCCAGTTGCCCAAAAAAGGGAGTGTGAGGGGGAGAGGGGGATGTCAGTACGCGCAACACACACTCCACCACTCCCTTTTTGAGCTGCAGAAAAGTTGCAGAAAGGAGTGACCCAGCTTTGCAAACGCAGAGAGAGAGAGAGCCTGCGAAGTTAGCCTCGATAGCACTCATCATCCTTCTCAACAACTACACATCCCTACGAGTTCGGGCTACGCATTTTCACCCAATACCGTCATGAGGAGGGGAGGATAATACCAATGTGAAACCGGGAAAAACCGTACGAAAAAAAAAAAAAGTCATACGGTCGGGAGGCAAAAGTTTTCCCGGACCCCGCGCCCAGGTGTGTCAGCAAAGTGATGCTGACCGCTGCATCAGGAGTGCGTGCCCGACTTTCAGTTTAAATTAACGCCCCTCCCCCTTCAAGTTGACCGTCCAAGTTGTGAGGAGTCGTGTTCCCTCGCTAGCGTCCGGAACTGTTCAGCCGCACATGATACACACTTCGAGCCCAAGGTTGCTCATGAAACCTACAAGAGTTGCATATTGTGTTAGTTGATCTATAAGGGTTCTTTCAAGAGATGTGTCCAGCATCACTAATCATTCATACCGCGAAATGATTGAACAGCGAACTGCGTTTCCAGGTTCAAACTTTGGGAACTTACTATTGAATAAATTTGTTTAGCGGCTGGAAGGGAAGGCCCCTGCGCGATCACCTGGCGATGCTCCAGCAGGCAAGGACATTTCGAGTTCCTTCGTGATAATACAAGATCTTATAGCGAGTGTTGTCGTCCATGAATTCGCCGCGGTTTTCGCCGCAAGACTCTGCAAGAATGGAGGGTTGCATTTGTACAGTAATGGTATCATGAAGTATTTTCACTCGAATTTTTGCTTTGTTTGTCCTCTGAAGAAACAGGTTGCTTAACTAAAAGTCAGCCTCCTAATGAAGGGGGAAAAGAGGGGGGGGATCCGGTCACTGGTGCCGTTGTATACGATGATTCTACCTAAATCCCGTCTCCCAGTGCTTCGCATCCCCACACCAAGGACCGCGGTGTCTACGCATCGGGCAAGACTTGAGGTCGGATTATGCTCAACGTGAAAGAAGGGAAAAAAAACAGTGGATGGGTTCGAGTTTCGCTGGGTCCGGCCCGCCCAGAGGAAAACGCTAAAGGGTGACTAAGCATGGTCTCACACTCCTGCGGTCCGCCAGCGTGTCTCTGAACGCGCGGTCGGCGAAAAGCCTCTGCGACATACCATCATCGACTAGGCTGTGGGCGAAACGTTGTTGGTAACGCGTGTTCGCCAAAACGGCGACGTTTGTTCCAGCCTTCGACAAAAGTCCTAAGCCGGTCTAACGCGGGTGCGTCTATGTCGCGCAGGCGAAAATCGATAAGCAGCGACTGCGTTTTGCCCAACCGCCAACCAGAGGCGGTGAGCGTTGGAAGGTTGGCGATTTCTCTGATGAGACTATTAATGCTTCGCAAACGGCCGGTCGCAATCGGTGAGCATGACGAACGTTATTGGCACAATCGCTCCGGCTGAGCCGGCCGTCGATCTTTCCCGCCGGCACATTTCAAGACCTCGCGGCCAAATGCCAAATCGATGATATCGAGAGCTTCGACCATAAAGCGTTTTCTCTGGAGAAAAGCGGGTCGCAGACGTGAACAATGGCCTTACGACTCCCACCATCACTGTCATGGGTTGGGGAGGCATCAATGTGGGAAAGGTGGTATAGCGTGCGCGATTCCGCGCGATGGACACGAATTCATTGGCAAGTTATAACAAGACATGAACCTGTAGGCGGATGTTGCTGCATATCCAGCGTTATAAACGGTTATGCATGTCCACACAAGACTCTTACGATCATCAGAGGTGCTTCCGCTTGGCTAGATAAGAAAAGTCGCACGGGCGCCAATCGGACAAGATATGACCGGCTTATTGAAGGACGTATGAGTGCCAAGACCGGCAGACAGCCCAAGAGATCAAGCGGCATGCATCTCCAGATTCTCACAGCTGAGTCGCCGACTCGGGACTGCACAGGCAACCATTAAACGTCCGAGCTAGGGAAACTAGAGACAAGAAGAGAAGAGGAGCAGTAGGTGGAAGCGACGGGAGGAGAGAAATAGTGTGATAATCGTTGTTGGCCGTGTCCGATGAAGCTTTCTCACTTTACTACACGGAACCCTCAAAGAGAGCGCGATGCAAAATTGTGCAGTGCTGCAAAGTTTGCATAAAAATTCTCGAAAATGATAGAGGACAGAATGAAGCTCTAATAGCATAGAAAGTCCTGCTGAAAAGTCGAAAAAAAATCACGGAAAGTGAAAGGATTTCGGCTTGTCGAATGCCCGTGCCCGATGACCAAGTCAAGGGAATATGTGAGGCGAATAGTTCCGTAGCGAAATTTTCAAGATCGGGAAAACCGCGCCATTTATCAGATGCATGGGCCTTTCCTGGGGCGTCGACGACCTTGGGTCGTGTCTACTTGCACCTTTCAAGCGGCCTGAGGCTAATGTCAATACAGTCCCGTCATTACGACGGCAGGGCGGTTAAGTGCGGCGTCGCTTTGACGGCTGCGCCAAACCGCTCTCCAACACGAGTATTGAAGCGACAAATGATAGACTGTATTATAGCCGCGTATTACTCGTTCTACCACTTTGTCGGCATGACGGTTCAACCAAAGGACGGAGAACGCTCAACAGGAATGCGCACGCACCATATGGCTGACACGCACACCGGTACCGCCACATGATGAGAAACTGTACTCTGGAAATGAGGAGTCGCCACGCAGTTAGCTACTCATGTAAGCTTCCTTTACGGCATACTTACCCTCTGTGAAACGCACTACCGCGGAAAGCAGACGGTCCAATCGGTGCACTCTAATTAAGAGCAGCTCTAATTAGAACAGTCCTGCGCATCTTATGTGGCAACCGTTTCTCTGTCGCAGAGTATGAACTCGGTGCGGCATTGTGGGGGTATACAATTAATGAACTTGTATATTGTCACTGGTTAGAATGAAGGGGTCGTATACATCTTTGAGAGAGGTTTCCCTCTCTCGAATGCAGTTTTTTGGAAAACTGGTTGAAGTTTCGGGGAATTGGTAAGCAGGTGGAAAAATTTGGTAAGATGGTAGGTAGTCATAGTTGCACGGCCATTTCACCCGTCTCGCTGCGCTTTTTTGATTTGAGACTCCGAATGTTCGCCCTTTTTGTGCCGACACAACAAACCAGAATGACAAGCCGTATGGCTAAAGTGTGACAATACTACCGTTTCCGAGCGAACATTGCACTAACTTGTGTCATTTTCCCATCAACTCTCCTTTAATAAGAAGTATAAAACTTACGTGTGTCGTGATACGCTTCATATCCAGCGCATAGGCCGCAAAGGCTCAGCAGGAGGATGAGAACTGGAAAGTTCGATATGTAGAGCAAACTATAACTGCCTAGATACACTTACCGTGAACATTGTCGCGAAGTTCGTAGGAATGTCCTGTGCGTGTCCTATTTGAAAATTAGGTGCCTCGTTGAGTTTAGGTGGTCTTTTATACGTACACTGGACAATAGTACCTCCATACTACACTATTACTGTTCATATTCAAATATTGATTATCACGTACACAATACTCTATTATTTGCTATTGCTTAACTCGTCCGTTCTGCACTGTATTATTATGTTTATTGCTGGAATACAGAGTATAACATTCTCATTAGCTCTCGAACGCTTCGGAGGTTAGGCGCTATTTCTGTCAAAGCAAGGGGGCGGGGTAGGAGTAAGTTCCCATCAACGTAATGAGTAGCGGTACGCGAAGAAATTATACCAGTTTCATTTTGAGTTGCCGCAGAGCAGCTGAACGGCAATGAACCCAAACGTATAAACGTTAGGAAATTAGTCTGAGCTGCAAAAACTCTTGGCGAGTTGCCAACCGCTTCTGTTAAGGCCTTGGAGACTTTGGGGGGGGGGGAAGCTAAGTTGGTTTAGGTGAAGAGCTACATATTTTCCAGGAGCATATAATAAAATAAAATTGTTCTTTTATTGAACCTGTGATTTGTAAATGGCTACCGGAATGTGTAATCTCGCCAATAGGAAATTGAATGAGAGCTAGGAGATGGAGATTTACCCGCATTCAGGAGAGAAATGGATGAGTGATGAACCGAATGTTCTGTGGAAAACATGGTCTTCGTGTACTCTAAGGAGGAAATCGACACCCAGAGTCGCCCTTCGCCTTTTGTGGGTTTGTTTTGCCAATTTTCAGGATATTATGTTCTCATAAGAAACAAATTTGTTGTCGCTATGAGAGTTCTCCGTATTCAGCGGTCAGAAGGCAAAATAGCCTATTTCCCATGTACGTACTACTTATTTCGATGTATTCGACTGACGAATTGACCAAGCTACTACTGCTTGGACTTTCGTATACCGTAATGAATGAGCGTTTGGATAACCTTTCATAGAAAAAAAACTGTAGAACTGTGAAGCCGAGAGCAATGAAATCAGCTAATCTGGAAGACAAGAAAACGATTGTCGTTTTTTTCTTTGTTCTGCGCTTTACCTTCTTCCGTGGGCACGCCACAATAGGCTTCTCGCTTCTCCTGACCATACCGTTTGATAATTGTACTTTACTGTTTATTACGCGACGCGAATTTATTGTACTAGCTACGATCACAGTTCCTTCTCAGTCTCTGAAAAGAGTCACATTCCTCTATCAAAACTTCACTAGTCAAGCTCTTTTAACTCCGAGTGTTGAGTTCGGCTAGATTTTTCAGTTTCAAGTTAGACTTGCTGTTTAGCAAATCCGACTTATCTATGCAGCTCTGGACTTCGCATGCGAACGATGACCGCTCTCTAATTCGCTTCTCGTTACCGTCTTCCTGGTGGACTGGATCTGACCATATTGATTCAAATTTGAATGTTGAATGCTATCCTACTGACTGCTTCCTGACGGACAAAAGTAGGCTCTCAGCCTTTGTTTGTGAAGACTGCGGCCACTGGTTGTACCGTCACCGTTTTGGATTTGCCGCGGCTTGAACACGAGACTTCCGGGTGCTCTTGGCTCGGGGGGGGGACATGCGTATGCACTCCTTATGGGGGGCTGACACGAACATATATACCTTCACGTTGATGAACTTTATGCACGTTTAATTTTGTGGGGAACTAAGGCTGTAATCTTAAATGTGTCAGATGATCCGGAAGTTGATTGCAGAGGTTGCACTGTATGCAAAACTCGCAAAATGGCACGCGAAGCACACTAAACAAAGTGGCCTCGGGGGGGGGGACTAGCGTAATAGGGAACGCAACTGCCCTGTAAGCAGAAGATGCGGGTTCGAATCCCGTTCGTGGTCCGACTTTTGCCCATAACTCAGCATTCTTGTGATAGCTTTCGGATCGCGTACTGCGGCTTAAGCTTTTAACAGTAACAGCTTGAAACTTGTAAAAAGCCTTCAGCCTTGCGGTTCACTGCCGATATCGGCTAACCGGCTCATCACGTTGAACGTGTGAGTGCTGTAAGGCTATGGCACAAATAGCCATTGAGCTGAGTGGTCAAAAGTGGCCTCGGTAGCGTAATAGGGAACGCAACTGCCCGGTAAGCAGAAGATGCGGCTCGAATCCCGTCCGTGGTCCGACTTTTGCCCATAACTGAGCATTCTTGTGACACTATACATCGATTTTAGGCCCAAGGCAGCCCATGCCGGCCTACATTGCCCGTGTAGTTGTACTAATGTCGTTATTTTCTGGTCTCTCTTCGCGCTTTGCAGTGTATCGTCACCTTCTGCATATCACTGTTGATCTTGACCATCCTACTCTCGTCCGATGATCATGATCAAGTGCAAGGAGGAGGGTCATATTGAGGACGGTTTTTCATACTTTTTTCTTCACTACTAAGTCAACTAGCACAATGCACTCCTGTTTTTGAACCCTGCTACCTATGTTGTGCAGTCGCGGGAAGTGCCTTCAAGGTAACCCAAGACCGAAAAAAATATCACGTTGGGAATGGTGCAGTTCTATAAGTCACGAATCACTGGATATGAAGAGCTGTGTGGCGACGATGAAATCGTTTCTCGCCAGCTCGCAATATCTGTTGAAATGTGTCATAACCCAGAGAAGGTAGGGGGCGGTGCGAAAAACTTCGACATAGGTGAGAAACTTCTCATTGAAGCCGATCTATTTTTCACGGAGCAAAAGTTCACTCGCCCACCCGGTGCTCCTTCCGTCTAGCCGTGGGCGACCCTTCATCCTGTAAGCGCATAATCATCCCAGCATCTTCCATAACTGTAACAGAACCACCCAACACTCAGACAACGCCGAAGTTCATATAGTAGCATTCAAGTGTGCACAGTTCCCGACGTGCAACGTACGCAGCTTTCAGTAGCGCAGTCCAATCGTGAAACCTGTTGTGGAGCAACTGCGACTTGATTTTGTGGTACCAGTAGGAGTAGTTCAGCAGGACCGCTCGTACGAGGCGGCAAAGAAAGACACTTTGCCGAGGCACATAGTAAAGTTTACGCAGCCCAGAGAGAAGACGTGGATACGAGTACCAGGGCGGAAGATACCCAAGATGTTCCTCGATAAGCAGGAGCAGGCTCTCGTCCATCACCTTCATGTACACCAAAATAAAGCCATCTCCAATCGCAGCCGAACTGAAGAAGGCCTATGGAATTCACGTCACCTCCAAACAGCTGCGAACTCCTTGTATGAAGTGACTCTTGATCTGGAAGACCTCCAACATCGAGCAGCTCCGACAACGTCGCTATGGTCCAGGATATCATCTTCTCTGCAGTCGCCAAGGCGCGGTTGATGGTATGGACCGAAAGTTCCTGGAATGAGAAAACTGAATTTCTTCCTCTTCATGGACCCGGACTGAAAGTGACGCTGACGGTTACATCGAACAGCTCGAGGAGAACATTCTGCCTTCATGTCGTCGCCTGTCCTTCGGAAACTTCGTACTGCTACAGGATTGGGTGCCAGCACATGAATCGAAAACCCTCGCCCACAGGTACCGAATCACCATCGCGTGGCAGAATCTCTCGATGGCGTTCGTCCTAGAAGGCTTTGGCGGAGTTTCGTGATCGTATCCAAAGCGTTAGTTGGATCTGATGGTGGAAACGTCCACTCAGAACACTATGAAGTGTAACCTGTTCCGACTAGAACGTCAAAGAAGGGTCTTTTCTTGCCCCCTCCACTGTAGAACGACTAGAAACGTCAAAGAAGGGTCTTTTCTTGCCCCCTTCCACCTTGTAGAACCGCGTTCACTTTGCCTGATATGAAAGGTAGTTGTAGGGACGGCGCCTCACAACCAGCATTATTGAGAACTGCGTAACTCAATCATACTTATGGGTTGGAGACTGAGCACATTGCCGACTAGTACCAAGTGACCAACCTCAGTGTTGTTCAGCGCAAAGAATAATAGCAGGCAGGAGGCAAAGTAACCTTAGGAAGTTGCCCAACCGTAGCACTGTTGTCGGAGTAGATTACAAGTGACGGCTCTTTGAACCGTTTTCACTCCTTGACCAATGATTTGGGGTATTGTGCTGTCGCGGAGTAGCGCTTTTTACCTGAATGTGTAGAAACACGGTGAAACTCCAGAAAAAGCTTTTGAGACTTTTGGTTCTTTTGAGTTTTTGAAATAAATTTTTGATGTTCCACAATGATGATTTGGTTGAAGGCAATCACATAATTGGCGCATCTAACACAACAGATTTGATCGGACTTGGGGCGAAATGAATGTAACGGTATTCCAGTGTTTCATGGAAAACCGAATCTGGTGACTAATTCATCGTTTCATACCTTATTTTATCACGCAGCGTACATGGCGCTGCACACCCCAAATCAGACACAGAGCCTCCCCTCCCATGTTCAAAGACTCTTCCTGATGTGCCATAGAACTGACTCTTCTATCAATGTTGTAGATGTAAGCAGAACGTTCTTCGATCAAATGATAATCTCCGAACTAACCAGCTTGAGTGCATTCTAATGTTTAATCAGGGTATCAATGTGCCCTACTGCACAAGCTTCTATCGGCTTTGGTGGGAAAAGTGGCGGCGCCCAATTGCGCCATTTGGCGTGAAGTTGTGCCACCGTTAAAAGTGATTCGTTATCAGGATGTCGAATAACCCTCGTATACAAGTTTTCATCGATACTGGTGAAAAGGTGGCTGTGCCAGATTGGTGCCAATTGACGCCTGCACAAGCAATGAATGTCATATATATGATCAGGTCACTCACTGTATAACATCTGCAGGCTGAGATGCAGCGGAAAAAAATTGTGTTTTTGGAGTATTAAGCTGGAATAGTGCCGAAATTCCTTAATCAGAAATCCTTATATTCAGGTTCCCTTGCCTCGGCACTACTTTTGATAAAGCTGAGTGAACGGTGAAAGCTGAAGCCGAGATACGCCAGTAGATCGACAATACGGCCAGAACTATCAACAGAAGTGGACGGATGCTTTATTGCAATGGTTGTTCGCGCAGTCAG